GAAGGCCACACATCTTCAAGTCGCCAAGGTTGAGGAACCCTGATCTGGAGGACATGACAGTGAAGGCATCCCAGTCATGTCCTCACAAAATAATCCGTATTTCTCTAGGTTGTTCTTTTTCCCCAGTTCTCCATGCTTTCTCAAACATAATCAGTCTGACCATCAGCAAATTTCCATAATACTCTGAGATGCAGTGAATCTGATCCTGTAGATTTAAACTCATTTGAAGTAAATATATATCCATATGTGTATTTTTGCCATTCTCAAACTTCACTCCTGGTGAATTGCATGCCATTTTGTTTGAAGAAACCAAGCCAAAATAAGGGTTGAGTAGCTCTGCCTTTTCTTTGTTATTCTTAATATGTTACCATTTTCAGTGAGCAGCAATACAATGATTCTTTTTTATTTGGAACATATTTGAATAATTCCTTTTATTAAAATCCATTGTTTCGAATTACAAGATTCAAGTATGATTCAACTTGAATATACCTTAAAATCAATAACTACAGGATTAGCATGGTCATTTTTCCTTGGTGTTCCTGCTATTCTTGTTACACAATGAAAATTTTCCTATCAGCTAACACCCAGTCAGAGGTAGTTTCTTATAGTTTCTTCCATCGTCTGAAAGAGAAAGTTGTCAGCAAGATCAATCAAGAATTCCTGAAAGAATCATGCTTTATAGACTTTATCTTCCAACAGAGGTTAGGGTAATTAAGAAAACAAAACATCTTTACTATATGCATCTACTCTCTCTAAATTCTCTCCCTGATTGAACAGATAGTAGACACAACAATATTGCTTTTGTTCATTCCTCCATTTATTTTAATCCAGATACTCTCTACAGTATCACCAGGATAATTTACTTGGATTTCTGAGCAAGAGTGGGTACTTTTAACATAAAGAGCAAGTCCTCCTCCCATTCCATTGTTTTTGGTCTTTTTGAACACTTTATGCTCTTCAGTTGCCATATTCCAATCATGAGTGCCATGCTATCAGGTCTCCGTTATAACTATTAAATAGTATTTGCTAAGAGTTCAAGCTCATTTAGCGTGTGTCAGTTACTCTTTCCTGAAAAGCTCTGATTTGCCAAAAGTTATCCATTCTTTGGTTGCACTGCATTTAGATTACTTCACCTTGGCTTTACTTGAGGTTATTCTTGAAAATGCTGAAAAGTACACAATAACATTATCATATTTCCCTAATACTGCAACAAAACAAACAAAACAAAATGTTATTTATAACATCCACTCTGGGTTTTTAAATGGGGGTTAAGACCCGTCTTTTTAACCTGTACATTTAAAATGTACTTAATGTTTTCTGGTACTATTACACTTGTGTTTTTTGTTTGTTTGTTTTTGTTTGGGGGACATGGCATTTTCTTTTGTTATCTATCTTAGTGACTTTGATAGAAAGGCTGTATAAAAATATTAAAAATAAATAGAATCCATTAAATTAGCATGTTTTCTCCAGAGTTCCATATAGAATAGCTGCCTGTTACAATCCCTGATTTTATTCTTCCAAAGATATATCTCTCCATCTTTGTCCAGCTCTAAACTGTCTTTAGATTTTTCATTCCAATCAGTAACACTGCTCAAATAATACAATAATACAAGATATTGAGTACTGTGTCATTTTTGTACTGCTTAGCTTATTCATGCCTACTATGGAATCATAGAATTAAGGAGTTGGAAGAGACCATGAGGATCATGTAGTCCAACTTCTTAAAAACCTCCAGAGATGGAGAACTCAGGAAGTCCATAAATAGATTGTTTTATAGATCTTAGTGTCATGAAGTTTTTCCTTATTTAAATAAATTCTGTTTTTAAATTTATTTTATTCCACTTATATAGTCACCCATCTCATAAAAATGACTCCAGGTAGCTGCTTTCAGTATGCTATCTTGTACTTCCAATGTGCTGTATTCCCTTGTCTCAACAATAATGTTCAGAAAAATCTCCCACAGTTAAATGGAAATTGTAGTTTCTGTAATCTATTAAAAGTCGTACCATAGATTGTATCTAAGACATTTAATTAGTATATAGGTTAAGCAAATCTAGTGAAAACAGCCATTGCAAAACTATTTCATTTGTGACTTAAGAACTTTTCTTGTCATAATTTCTTGAAATTTGAAGCAGATAAAGGGAATCATAATGGAATGCTTGTTGCATTTCTGGTCCACATTCTTGATTAGTTGCATTATTCAGAGGGGAAAAGATCAAAACTTTCCAGATTTTATTGTTTCTTCTTTAGTCACAATGGGTGCATGTTTTTCCTGACAGGAAGCCTTGTCTGTTTGCTGCATTGTTGTTGTTGTTTAGTCGTTAAGTCGTGTCCGACTCTTCGTGACCCCATGAACCATATTGCGCCAGGCCTTCC